ATTTTGGCACTTGTGTATAAAGTTAAAATCATAAATAATATTCAACGTTAAACTGGTACACAATTAAAAACATTTTATTTAGGCCTATCTATGGCCTTCAAAAAGTTAACGACTACATGTTTCGACGTTACAACGTCATCCTCAGGAGTGAATTACAAGACAATTGCCAAAGTATTTATAGCTTGTTAGTAGGTCATTGACCTGTATGTTATTTTTCATACATTCACGCTAAACCATTCAGAGAAGATCAATCCACATTATTGTAGAAATATTCGCCAAACCTTCATCTCCTTTTAATACTACATGATCTTTTTTGTGTTTTATTATTTCTAACAATTCACGAATATTATTAACTATTACACTTTTAGGTTGAGCTAATATTACAGTTTTTCCACATAATATTGTGTGTTGTGTTACCTGTACATGTTCTGCTATGGATGAATTTTCAGTTTTTTTATTTTTTACATATCCCTTATGCTCATTTAAACGGTATCTTAAGTTACGTTTTGTCTGACCAATGTAAATACTTCCACATTCACATTCTATTTTATATATTCCACTTTTTTCAGTTAAATGTATTTCGTCTTTCGTAATACCTAAGATTTGATTCATCTAATTTATTGGTTTAAATATAGGGTAGAATATCTGTTGTTTTTTGAACACTTTAAATAAACTAGTAGTTAAACCTGAAACATATGGTAAGATTAAGCCTTCCTTTCTAATTTTTTCATAACTAGGTTTTAAAGTACTAACTTGATCAATTATTATAGTATTAGTGAATTTTTTAATTGCCCTATCTATAAGATCTGGGTCAAAACTTCTTTCGACTGCTATATATTTAATTAATAACAATTCGTTTTTAAAATCATTTTGGTTAGTACATATCTTCAAAGCTTTGTTAACATAACTATAAAACGAAGACATTTTTTGTGATTTAGTATGACATGATTCTTGGTGTGGTGGCATAACAACAGAAAAAGGTTTCTGGTTAAAAAGTTATATCTAAATTACCTTGTACATTCCTTTTCACCAATAATTCTAGAAAAGGCAAACTATTATTTTTCTCAAATTCAAACGTAAATTGTATAGATGGTTCAATGCTGTTCAAATAGTAAGCAAACTCTGTTAATGCCTTATTATCATATTTCCACACCAAGAATGTGTCATCTACATACCTTATCCAAATATCAGGTTTACATTTTGCATTATTTATTATAAAAATGGATTCGTAACACATACCTTAGTTAAATTAACTATATCTATAGTTTCAACTGCTGAAATTTTGTTTTCTAACAATTTTGTTTCAAAACATTTAATTGTATCTTCTACTGGAACTTTTATAAATAGGGATACTACATCAAATGATACTAACAAATCTTCCTTATTAAAGTTTACATTTTTTATTTTCTCTACACATTCTAAATCAGTTTTAACTGTATACTTATTTTTATTTCTCAAAAACGAATACTTCTGGGCTATATGCTTAGCTGATGATGACAAAACCTTGTCGAAACGTTGTACATTTGCTGTTATGTTAAACTTATATTAAAGTTTTTCTTCATTACCCATTCAAGACGTCTCCAAGCATAACTAGCACCTTGTATAAATTCTATAAAGTTACTCGTCTTCAGTAGTACGTTGTTATAACGTCTATCAAGTAACACGTCTTAACTAGCACCTTGTATAAATTCCATTAAGCCACTCGTCGTCACTAGAATCTTATTATAATGTTCATAAAGTCACAGTTCTTAACCAGCACCTTGTATAATATCCATCAAGTCACCCGACTTAATTAGCACCTTGTATAAAAACCATTGTGCTTTACCTGAGTTTTTGTATGTTCTAGCTGCTTCTAACGAATGGGACTGGTCGTCTTCAAAATGTTCACGTTCAACCTGAAATACCAAACCTGTAACACAGAACTAAATGTAATTTGGTATAAAGAGAATCAACGTTGTTATTGTGTAACATAAAAACATATAAATATCTGGTCGAACTTAAGATATAGCCACTGTGATAATTGAAGCTTTGCATTCATTATAAAGTATTCACTCTAATCATATTATAAGTAGATTAGTTTACAATTACAACAGAAATAAACCCTAAAATACAAGTCTAGAGATGTCTCCAAACTTATATTTTCTAAAAAGTGGATTCCTCGTCATCAAATAGAAATAAACCCTGTTTATATTTTCTTCTTCTGATGTTTAATGCGTTGTAAGCTTACTGCAAACTTGGAGCTAATATAATGAAGAACAACATAAATGGGCAATTCATTCCTTTGATTTTTTTTTTCACTCACTGTCTCCCTAACAGATAACACTAGTCATGGAAGGTTGCAATTTATATTAGCCAAGGTTTTTTGGAATGAAATAAAAAGGAAAACGTTACCTTACAGTAATGTTAATAAACCTTACCGAATTTAACTTGGCAATTTGCCAAGGTAACCTATTCCAAATAAAGTTATCTCGAGAACATTAAACGACAAAAAAAAATCCCCATATCCGATTGTTTGTCGTGAAATGAAGCGTTAGTTTAACTGGAACTAAAGGGGAAGAGGGGGGAGTAATGTGGATAAAAAAAAGAAGAGATCCAGCAGTATGACGATTACTTCATTATCAACTGACTACAATATAAACATGAAAAAAATAGTTGAGACGAGGGATTAAGTTGAAATATAGTTTACGTGCTCAATAGTAATTTTAAATGCAAAATGAGATAATTGTGTTTGTTTGAGATCAAATCTATCAGTTTATTCTTACAGTTTACGTAGCATCATTAGCTAACAAGACTCTCTTCTTCTTCATCGGGATTCGGTCCATGTTTTGGACCAGGGAGGGTCAGGTTAGCATCATTAGCTAACAAGACTCTCTTCTTCTTCATCGGGATTCGGTCCATGTTTTGGACCAGGGAGGGTCAGGTTAGCAACCTGACCCTCCCTGGTCCAAAACATGGACCGAATCCCGATGAAGAAGAAGAGAGTCTTGTTAGCTAATGATCAACGTATAGACCTCTTCCTCTCTCTCTGGAATTGTTATTTTATTTGTACTGTTACGGAATCGTAGGTAATAACCCTTGTTACTTTGTTGTTGCATTACTCACAGTATGTTAAATTTTGTCCAGTGCCCGCATTTTTAATTAACATACCCCTTTTCATGCCACGTCCAATTCATAGGGTAATATTAACTTGGATAATTTTACTAGCTTCACTTATGTATGATCGCACTATTAGTCCGTGTTCACAATACAGTTCCATTTAGCAGTCATATATACACACACACACACATAATCCTATTTTTACATACAAAACCCTTTTAAAATAGAGCTTGTTTGTTTGTAATTATACACAAAGCTACACAATGGGCTATCTGTGCTCTGCCCATCACGGGTATCGAAACCCGGATTCTAGCGTTCTAACTCCGCAGACATACCGCTGTGCCACTGGGGGGCTAAAATAGAGCTACGTTTGTGTCTAGGATTCAGTTAGCCTAGCACTGTTTGGCCTGTCAGATTCTTATTTATGATGTTTAGAGGGGAGAGGTGCTTGATTCATCATATATTGTATAATTCTCTAGTTTGCTAATCACTTCATTTTTATTAATAGTTTTATCCAGGAGTCTGTCTAATAGCGTTGTCACGTTTGAATAGTTGTGCAGAAATACTGAATTTGTTGATCGTGGGGCTCTATATGCTTTTATTACAATATAGTTTTGTATTTGCTATAGATTGTTGATTTGTGTTTTTGATACATTTCTCCATTTTATACAGGCATATTCTACGACTAGTCTTACGTATGTTCTGTACATTTTTAATATGTTTTCTGGTGAAGCTCCTTGGTTGTTGCCAGTCAGGCTCCTGAAGTAACTCGCTCTTTTCCAAATTCTGGTTGCTATGCCATTAATATGTAGTATCCAGTTTAATTTTGAGTCAAATGTAATCCCTAAAAATTTTGATGATGTTGCTACCTGTAAGAGAGTCTCGTCTAAATATAACCGTGGTATTAATTTGCTTGTTTTGTAAATAATATGACTTGTGTTTTGTGCGCATTTATTTTAATTCTCTACTTATTGCAGTACAATTCTATTTCACTTAGTAGTGGTTGTATATTGTTGTTGGGCTTGGGGCAGTCTTCCAGATCGCAACATCATCTGCAAACTGTGAGCAAAAAGTGTGGTTTGGGTCTTTGAGAGGCATGTCGTTGACATACATGATAAACAGTGTAGGGCTAAGTACTCCTACTTGAGGGACACCCGCCTCTGGAGTGCAGCACTCAGATAGGTGCCCTCAACATTCACTCTGATGCTCCTATCATCCAGGAAGTTTGAAACCCAGCAAATAATTTCAATGGGTAGTCCCAGTTTGGACAGTACACTGTTTGGTTAGTTTTGTTTTGAATTTCACACAAAGCTACACGAGTTCTATCTGCGATAGCCGTCCTTAATTGAGCAGTAAAAGACTAGAGGAAAGGCAGCTAGTCATCACTCTTGGACTATTCTTTCAACAAAGAATAGTGGGATTGACCGTAACATTATAACGCCCCCACGGCTGAAAGGGCGTGCATGTTTGATGGGACGGGGATTCGAACTCGCGACCCTCAGATTGCGACTCAAGCGCCCTAAACACCTGGCTATGCCAGGCCAGCTAACAATATATACTTTTCTATCGGTGTGTAAATCGAGACTCAAACACATAAATATCAGAGAGTTCCGAAATCATTTCTGTCCATTACTCTACATTCGGATGAGAGGTGACGCAAAACATAAACACTACTCTTTAGCCTAACACCTGGAGAGGAAACGGTAAGGAGAATAAAGGGTATTTTAGGGAATTATGGAACAAATATCCTGGAGAATATTCCCAGGCTAGATCTGTCCAAGCGTGGCATTTGAAGGAGGTTGGTACCGTCTGAACGTCAGTTCTTGAACAAGAATTATTAGGCAGTCAAGAAATTAATGTCGCTTTTTTTAGATGAAAAATCCAGAACAACTTTTATATCAAAACAAAACATTTATTGAATGAAATAGTCTCCATTCTTATCGTTGATGCGTTTTCATCTTACAATCAGGTTGTTAATGCCCTGATTAA